ATGGACAGATAGAGCAGATGAGGACTCTAGATTCATGGAAAGAGAAAGGCTGTGCATTGGCAGCCAGGAGGTAGGCTTGCAGGACGTACTCTTTGGTTGTTTAATTGATTATATATTCCTGAGTGGTTTTGTGTACACCACCCCCTGCACACACAAAAAAACAACAACAGTGGGAATAAATGCAAATGCTGTTGAATGATGATGCATGGAGGGGATTGTAATAATTACAATGAAACAATGAGTGTAAAACCAATGTTCTGCCATGTAAACTATCAGTCAATTCACAATAAAAACTTAAAAAGAAAAATTATCCCCTGATGTTTTCTCAAAACCTAATAATATTTTATATTAACTAGCTAAATATATCTGCCTTGAGGATTATGCTCTTTCAAGATCTATTTATATGGAATCAAAGTAATATCAACAATAACCTGAAAAAGTAGATATGAACGCTAAAGGACATTGAGTTTATGTTAATCAGGGAGAAAGAATTTTTAAAAAAAGAAGGTCATAATTATTGCACAACTCAAAGAATGTAATCAATGTCCCTGAATAGTACATGTAAAGCTGATTGAAACGGTGAATGTTTTGCTATGCATATTTTCAACAGCAAAAACAAAAAATTAAGAAATCATAAAAAAGATATTCCCATCACAAAATAACAAAAAGTGAGAGAGCTAGGTTTTGAAAGCAGGCATACTAGCTTTAGATTCTGTGTTCTTTAACAGTATGCCATAACGCCTGTTACTTTTTATAAGAAACACACATAAATCAGAAGAATATAAAGTAAAGTCAGATATTGGTGAAATGATACTCAGAAATAGTAAAGATATTGTAGAGAGGGAAACATGTGCTGTGAGGAACACAGATTTTCAACCCCAGGTCAGATAATTAGTCATCTCCAATCCTTGGGAATTACTGGAGCCCTGCCTTTAAATGCTTCGTGGAAAAGAGTTCAAAATGGAATGAAGTAAACCAAATTAATTTCTCCTAACACTGTTTTGACTTTTGATTTCAAGTTAACAATTAGTCTGTTCAGGATAGGTCTTGTATTGTCTTTCACACCATCACTCTAAATCTTGAATGAGACTATAGAAACAACCAAACAATAGACCTTGATGTGTGTGGTACCTTGAATTACTTGCTATGACTTTTCTATCCAAAATCTTCTGAATTTCCACCACATGATTGGGTGGGACCATGCAAATAAGGTGGTACACAGGACATTAAGGCTGGGATTGGTTAGATTTTCCCTTCAGCTAGGTTTTAAAAGGAGCTATTTCATAAGCAAAGACAGAAGATCACAGGACTATCAAAAGAAAGAGCATGAGTGGAATATGAGATCCTTACCTAGCAAAAAGGTGACAACAGAGGCAAGTGCAGAGGAAACGGCAGAGGCAGTGGAATGGAAAGACAGCAGCTGTAGGCTGTAGGCCCATGGACTGAGGCCAAGGGGCCACAAGGCTAATAGTCTGAAGACATGAGTGAGGCATGTCTGCAGTATGACATACAAAAGCCATTCCTGACTGGAGACCTGCTTCATCTTGAGTTGGTTTTGATCCTGAATTGTACATTGTTCATTTCCCTAATAAACCTCATAATAATGAGTATTGTATGAGTTTTGTGTGGCCATGGCAATGGATTCTCGGATCCAGATGTGAAGCAGAGAGTGCTGTTGGAGGGATGCTTGGTGTCAGACTAGGAAAAAGAAGGTTATAGGGTGGAAACATGTCTGACCTCTGCTACATAGGAATGGGCCTTGAACTGATTTTGAGTTTGATTATTTTTACCCTTTGTGAAGCCAGGGGAAGTCAGACATGGCTCTTACATGGTTTTTGCAATATACATAGAGAAATATGAGGAGAGAAATATATGCACATATGTTTAATGTACAGGAATTTACTTGTCTTAGATAAATCAAGCTCTATAATAATTGTACTCTATGCCAGCATATTTTATTAATTATGATTCATTATTTACACATTCATTTAAAGAATGGCATATAATGAATTTTGACAGCCTTTAAGCCTCTACTCAGAGTCCTGGTGTAGTGCTGTAGGATAAGAACTTGATTGCAAGGTCAGTGTGGACTGCAAGTTCAGCATTTCAAACCCACTAGCCACTCCTCAGAAATCCTGTACGAGGTTGATATGAGTCAGAACTAACTCAATGGCTCTTAACAACAACAAGCCTCTACTCACGCCACTATTCATCTACAGAGTATACTAGGCAAGACAAACCATCTTAAATTAATATTGTAGTCCTGCTTTCAACTTGAATGACTGAGGATATATATCTTTTTCAAATCCCAATTCGTGAATTCCTCTAGAGTATCAAACAGCCCATTCATCTCAACTCCAACAAGCTAATAATTTCTGTAATTCATACTGTGTCCGTGTGAATATTTGGATTGGAGGTAAAGTCTTCATCTTTTTAATTTTGCCAATAGTTAACCCCACCTCCATCAATCCTGGAGTCCAACATGCAAAATTAGAAGATGGAGTCTTTAAAGGGTCTTAGGATCAAAGCAGATTCTAGAGTGGTCCAATTATTCCCACCACAACCACTTAGATAAACAATGAAGGCATGAGGCAGCACAGTAGGGAAACATGTTTATTTTCATTCTTTAGACTCCAGAAACTGGGGTGGTTCTGGAGACTGGAGGGTAGAGATAGAAACTCTATAGAGGATGGAATGCTCAGATTGGAGATGGAAAGATGGTCCAGTTTGATTTTTTATTGTACCGAATACTGGGAAATTTCTAGACAACCACTTTCCAGTAGGCTCTAGCTTTTGAATTTGCAGACAAAGGATAATTTATTATCACAATTCATATCCTTCCATTTCTCGAATCCTGTAAATCAATGGGAAGAGTCAGACTAAGAAGAACCATGAAAAGATTTTGACCCCCTCCTGGCTCTATGATTCAGACAAGAATTCAATGTCCCTTTAATTACTTGGATGAGGAGCTCCCCTATCGCTTCTCCCAATTCCCAGAATTAAAACCACAGAGGATGGCCCCAGTTGGGTGGCAATGGAATCTCTGCTTCTCACCTGAATTCGAAGTCAGGCTGACACAGTAGCCTGGATTGTTACTGCTTGGGGCATCATTTCCCCAGGCTTTGTATGAGACCAAAGCTCCACTGCTCCAGCGCCAGCGGCGGTTCTGAGGGAACAAAGGCCAGAAGAGGGATGGAGGTAACTCAGAAATAGGGAAACAACTGTCCTGAATGCACACTCATGAGCAGGTCAAGACATAGGAAGGATCGAATGTTATTCACCCATACCCATTCCTGCCTGTACTTCTCTTTTTTTCTGATTTTTCCTCCGGATTCCCCATAACCATGACATTCGAGGACAACACTAGCTATTCATTAGTTGTTAATATTATATTTAGTCTAATACTGGTGTCCAGATGTGCCAGTAGTAGACTCTCCTCTTCTAGTCTCCTTTTCTATATAGTCTGTTGTCTTGTTACATAGGGTATAAGAGGATTCAATAAGAATGAGTGCATAAAAAATGCTTTGGTCAAAGTAGACAGAATGGCATTATCATGTGGCACTCTAAGATAAGCACTGGACAACAAGGTCAGTTAGAACCTCTAGGTCAGTGGTTCAAACTCACCATCTGATCCTCAGAAACCCTATACTGGGTCACAATGAGTCAGAAACCACTCATGGCACTCAACAACAGCATCAAGAACACTCAGGAAATTTAGTTTCTACCTTATATTTCTAATACATGCTTTGAATATCTAGACCATGGACATTTTGAGACCATTAGAGTGATTTATTTTAGAACTTATAATAATAAAAACTGAATCATGAGTGTATGATCTTGTACTTCTGTCTTCTCTCACAATACTATGCTTTAGGAAAGATAAGAGACAGAAGACTCACTTTTTTGGGGTCATGAAGGCCAACCCAGACATTGGTGACACTAAAGCCGGTGTCCTTGATCAGGGCTGCCACGAAGGTTCCCTCAGCCTCACTGAGCACAGACACCAGATGACCCGAGTGCATGTTCTGGCACAACAGCTGTTCAGGAGCAAAGAAGAGATCAGTACTTAATGGACAGAAGGATATTCCAAGGTTTCCCATGGAGTGGGCCACAAACAAAAAATAGTGGCTCAGGATAGATTCTTGATGACACTCTCAACTCTAAGTCCTCTGGAATTGTGCATATTGAAAGAATAAGATGGGGATGGGAGAGTCTGTATCCCATTTTGACTGTTTCTGATAATAAGATATTTAGGCAATCCATCCTGTCTAGTTGTAGCTGCAGAGGACACTAGAAATCAACAGTTCCTTTTCGACCAACCTCTCCATGGGATAAGGATAAGATTGTCTAGTCCTGTAAAGAGTTACAGTCTAGAAAATTCTATTTAGTAGTTCTACTCTATCTCATAGGATTGCTACAAGTCAGCATTGACTGTACGGCATGGGTTTATATACTCATATGCCACACGGGGATTGTTCTCATACTGCTTCCCCCACATACGTCTGCATCAATCCAGGCCTCTTTGTCTGGATTAAAGAAGTAGCAGTAGGAGCCATAGGCATTGGTGCCTTCAGGGCAGCTGATCCGGGCAGAAGGTAGGTCTGTCTGGGCTTCCAGGCCTGGGAAGGAAGAGTGATAAAGGAGAGTCACAGGACAAGGTGAAGGCTGGACATTTAGATAGGAGCCTGTAAGAAAGACTCCGTTATAATAACATACATGGACTGGTTACTCGCTTTTAACTTCCTGTCACCTTCCACTTCTTTATCAAACTTCCTTTCAAAATAATCCCATCAAATAAAATAGGTGTGAAATGTGTTCCATTTATCTATGTCCTCTTCTGGACACTTCCCCATCATTCAGACTTCTGCCTTTCTCAAGCTTCTTTTGGTTCTTTTACACACAAGACTCTCCTCAATTCTACATCTCATTAACTACATTCTATGTACTTCCTTGCAACCTAGTCTAGATTTAATCACATGAATAAATTTATCCTCCATGATCAAAGGCAAAGGCTAATTTTAAGTACCATCTCAAAGTTTCTAATGAGGTGAGGCTGCATTTTAACAGAGTTAGAGCAGCAATAACCATCACCATTCAAACTCAAAACCCAGCTGTTGAAGCTGCCTTTTCCTAGAGGTACCAATGTTCACATGGTAGGAATGAGGGCTTGAGGATTGAAAGACATAATAGGAAATGCTTACCTTGGCTCAGAGACAGGAACGTCAGGCATGAGATCAGAATAAAGCATAAGCAGGTGGACATCATGCTGAGCAGTAGTAGTAAGTCGCTTGCTGAAGGGAAAAATTGGCAATCTCTGTAGAAAAACAAAGGGAAGAATCAGAAATATGGAAAGCACAGCTTTTACTAGATTCTTACTCTCTCTATCCCTTTTTGTCTGAGTTCCTGAGCATACAGATGTCCATTTGAGACCCCAACAACCTCAAAAAAACAATACTTTTCTTGAAAATTTGAATATTATATGGACCCATTCCTTAAAGGCAGCATTAGGACCTATGGAGGTTTTATGACTGCTAGAATCTATGGGAAAGAAATCCACTCTGTAATTCTCAAGATATGAAGGAACTAGCCTAAGTCAGACAGCTTCCTCCTGTACCAGTCACTTACCAGGTAGGCTGTCAGAGCAGGTGGTGACCAGACATTTATAACACCAACTGAGTGAGAAATTGCAGCACATGATCAAGGGGAGGGCCAAAGGGACAAGGCCAGAGGCCCCACAGGAGAACTGAGGACACCAATAGAAGGAAATCCTGGTATCAGAGGGGTCTCTTCCTGGTACACATTGGGAACAGTCACAGATAAAACCTCTTCCCGCAAATTGGTCTGCAATCCAGCCAAAGCTGCACCCATATGCCCAGTTCCCATGGCCCTGAGCAGCAAGAAAGGGACTCAGATCTTCCAGGAATCTGAGGATTTATGAGCATAAGAGGTAGATGAAAGGTGGAGCAGGAAGTGTTTTCGTATAGTAGGATAAACTTAAAGGACATAGAAAGAGTTAAGAGGGTCCAGTTGTAAGGCATTCTTTCTTGGGTCAAAGAGAAAAGTAGTTTAAAATTCTTTTGATTGCAGTGCCATTTCCAACATCTCCTTGTGGAAGAAAAAAGGGCTAAATCTCAAATATTCTTTCTTTCAGCTTTTACTTGTGATTTTTTTCTCGCTAAGATTCTACTTTTTTCTTCTGTCTTTTGTCGTTTTTGTTAAGTGTCCTTGAGTAGGCACCTGTTCATAGCTACTCTGTATAGGGCTTCTGATGCTTTAATCTTTGTGGGAGTAGAAAGCCTCATCTTTTTTTTTTAATGTTTTATTGTGAATTGTGTGATAATCTACATGGGAGAACATCAGCTTTACATTCATTCCATCATCCATCATTTCGTTGGCATAGTTATCATCCTGTCCATGCATCCTCACCCCACCAAGGGGTGTACCCTGTAAACTGCACCCCCCTCCCACCACAATCCTCAGCCCCTTTCCATCTCCTGATCCCGAGGCCCCAGCCCCACCATCTCTTGACGTTGTTTTTTTCTGCCTCCATCCCAGGCCTCACTGCCTCCCTGGGTAGGATTCCGCTCTTCGCTCTTCTCCATTGATGGTCCCAGGGTCCTCCACTCTGAGACTGATAGATTAATCACTCCCCTCTTTGCTACAGAATGTCCACCCTTAGATTTCCAACCCTCTCAATCAGTTCTGATAACCATTGCATCACAAGAGACCCATCTATATTTTGTTTCATCAGCCCTTCCTGGACAGGCTGTATACCACTCACTGGAGACTCTACCTTCCTCCACGCCCTCTGGATCTAGGCTCCCTCTTGAAAGCTTGTAAGCCAGTCACTTCTTGCCTTTGTATCCCTCCCCCCATTTTGGGTAGCCAATGTCCAAGTTGAGAAAGCCTCATCTTTTTATTGCAGAGCGGCTGGTGGGCTTGAACCACGAACCTTGTAGTTCACAGTTCAGTGCTGATGACATTAAATTCTACACTGTTCATAGGTTTGTCCTCTGTTCTTCGCCTCCTTTAGTCTACCATCAGTTTCCTGGCCTGTCCTCCACCTGTATGATCCTGTTATAACTTTCTAAAGAGGTCCAATGTTTTGCTATAGGATAAGCACTGGACTGCAAGCCACCAGCTGCTCCTTGGAAATCTGATACAGGGTCACGAAACTGACTTAAGGGTACTTAACAACAACAACTTCCTCAACCACTTATTCATTTAAATCCTCTCCATCTTAACGAATTTCTTGAAAGCTATGTTGCTCTTCCTCAAATGGGAACATTTAAGGTCAATCAAAATCAAATTTCATCTTATGCAAAAAGGTCTCAAGAAACTTTTGAAGCATCTCCATGGTAAAATTCTGCTGGCTTGTCCTCTATTCCTGCCTTATAGAATTTTTGTATTGGTTTCTTTCCACATTGGTATTTTCTCTATGGAGTCAGATCTGTGAATTTGTCTTATTATTTTCCTTAAACATGACCTAAAATAAGTTAATTTAGACAGACTAGGATCATGCTTTGGAGTCCTGGTATGGTGCTGTGGGTTAATGCGTCAGACTGCAAAGCCATTGGAACTACAAGGTTGGCAGTTCAAGCTCACCAGATGCTCCTTGGAAACCCTCTACAAGGTCACTATGGGTCAGAACCGACTGGACAGCACTTCACAACAACAACAACAAGATCATGCCTTTGTTACCTCTTGTTGATATTAAGTGTTGTTGAGTTAGTTCTGACTCATAAATAGCCTGTGTAGGTAGGTTCCAGCGACTAAACATTTAGAATTAGTTTGTCACTCTTTCTACCAAGTCTGTCTTCATCTGGAAGCTCATCTGAAACCTGTCCACCATGGGTGACCCTGCTGGTATTTAAAATACCGGTGGCATAACTTTCAGAATCATAGCAACTCAAAAGCTACCACAGTACGACAAACTGACAGAAATCAATTGCTCATATTCAAATTAAACTGAAGATGAAGAAAATGAAAACAAGTCAATGAGAGTTAAAATAGAACCTTGAATATATGCCACCTAAATTTAGAAACCATCTGAAGAACAGATTTGATCCATTAAACCCTAAAGACCGAAGACCAGAAGAGTTGTGGGACAACATGAAGAACATCTTACCGGAAGAAAGCAAAAAGTCATTAAGAAGACAAGAAAGAAGGAAAAGTTTAAAATGCATGTGAGCAGAGACACTGAAACTTGCTCTCATGCATATAAATACTAAAGCAAATGGAAGAAATGAGGAGGTACAAGAGCTGAACAGAAAGATTTAAAGGTGAGCTTGAGAAGTTCAGTCAAATATTACAACAAAATGTGCAAAGATCTGGAGACAGAAAAACAAAAAGGAAGAACATGCTCAGCATTTCTCAAGCTGGGGGAACTGAAGAAAAAATTCAAGCCTCAGCTATCATTATTGAAAGATTATTTGGACAACTTATTGAATGATGCAGAAAGCATCAAAAGAAGATGGAAGGAATACACAAAGTTACTGTACCAAAAGGAAATGGTTGATGTTCACCGTTTTAGGAGGTAGCCAATTATATTGAAAGAGGAAGTCCAAGGTGCATTGAAGGAACTGGCAAAGAAAAAGGCACCAGGAATTGATGGAATAAAAATTGAAATCTTTCAAGAAAGTGAAGAAGCACAGGAGGTGCTCACTCATCTATGACAGGAAATTTGAAAGACAACAATATGGCCAACTGATTGGAAGAGATCCGTATTTATGCCTATTCCAACAGCATGTGGAAATCATCCCATGTGAGTAAAGTTTTACTAAATGTAATACAGAGATGGCTGCAAGCATACATTGACAGAGAACTTCCAAAGGTTCAAGCCGGATTGAGAAGAAGCTGTGGAACAAGGAATATCATTGCTGATGTCATATGAAACTTGGCTGCAAGCAGCGAATATCAAAAAGATGTTTACCTGTGCTTTATTGACTATGCAAAGGCTTTCGATTGTGTGGATCATGACAAGCTATGGACAACATTGTGAACGATGAATATTCCCAAACACTTAATTGTGCTCATGAGGAATCTGTACATGGACCAAGAGGCAGTTATTCAAACAACATAGGGGAACACTGAATGTTTTAAAATTAAGAAAGGTGTATGACACAATTGTATTCTTTCAACATAGTTACTAAATTTGTATGCTGAGCAAATAATCTGAGAAGCTAGGTTATGAAGAAAAATGTGGCATCGGGATTGGAGGAAGACTCATTAACAGCCTGCAATATGCAGATGATACAACATTGCTTGCTGAAAGTGAAGAGGACTTAAAATATTTTCTGATGAAGATCAAAGAGCACAGCCTTCAGTATGGATTGCATCTCAATGTAAAGAAAACAAAAATCCTCACCACTGGACCAATAAATAATATTCTTATCAACAGAGAAAAGATTGAAGTTGTCAAGGACTTCATTCTTCTTGTATCAACTATCTACACTCCCCGAAGCAGCAATCAAGAGAACAGAGGACATATTACATTAGGCAAATCTGCTGCATAAGACATTTTTAAAGTGTTGAAGAGCAAAGATGTCAGCTTGAGGACTAAGGTGTGCCTGACATGAGCCATGGTATTTTCAGTAACTTCATATATATGTGAAAGCTAGACAGTGAATAAGGAAGACCATAGAAGAATTGATGCTTTTGAGTTATGGTGTTGTAGGAGAATATTGAAAGTTCCATGGGCTGCCAAAAGAACCAACAGATCTGTGTTGGAAGAAGTGCAGCTAGAGTGCTCCTTGGAGGCCAGGATGGCCAAATTTCATCTCTCACACTTCAGTCTTATTGTCAGGAGGGACCAGTCACTGGAGAAGGCTATCATGTTTGGTAAGGTTGAGGGTCAGAGAACAAGAGCAAGACCCCCAGAGAGGTGGACTGGCAAAGTGGCTGCATCAATTGACTCCATTGTGGCAACAATCATGTGGTTGGCCCAGGACCAGGCAGTGTTTCGTTCTGTTGTGCATAGGGTCTCTATGAGTCAGTGCCGAGTTGATGGCACCTAATAACAGTGATAGTTTGCTACATATATATGAGGCATTTATTTAACTGTGTTTTAGATAATTATTTGGAGGTTTAAGATTGATTCTTACTGCTTTCATTTTTAATTTGAAAAACTGATTTATAAACACACATATTTACACAGATGATGGATTTTCAGAGAATCTTTTTAGTAAGATTCAATTGGAAAAATTATCATTGTCCTCTGTATCATTATCCTTACCTGCATAGGTAAAATCAGAAGAACTAACAAACAAACAATTGCCCTGGAGTCAGTTTCAACTCTTTGCTCTACCATGTGTTACAGAATAGAATTGAGTACCGTAGGGTTTTAGTGGCTATGTCCTTTCAAAAGCAGATTGATTGGCAGGCCTTTCTTTTAAGGTATGTCTGGATGGTTTCAAACTAGCAACCTGCTGGTTAATAGCCTAGTGCTCAACCCTTGGCACCACCCAGGGACTTGTGCCAGTCATTTTTATGACTTTGGAAGAAAGGGGACAATCAGGAGAGACTGTCATTGAGAAGAATGCTCTGTCTACTCTTCCCAGTTGCTTCTGAATTTCTCTCCAAAAGCTCTCATTATTCCCAACCTGTCCCCCGTCATCTCCTTCTGTGCTACTTAATTCCTGTAGCAGTCTCTTCTGGTAAATCTCATCTAACTCTTTCTGCCTCTGAGGGACATGGGAACTGGACACCTGGGAGTACCCACTGATGCCAGAGTAAAGTCCGTCCTAACTAGAGAAGGAAGTCTTACCTTGAACAGTCTCAGCCTCTGCCTGGAAAAACCACTCCCCATGCTGGAAATCCTTAGGATCCTACGTCACCTTTGTCCTTACTCAGTGTCAGCTTAACTACACCTATCAGTGGGACTG